TATCCGTCGCACGCCCGCGTGGTACATCCTCGACACCAGACGGGGTGCGCAAGGGATGGGGGGAGCTATCCGTCGCATTCTCGCAGAGCGTTGCAGGCGTGGCACATCCTCGACACAAGAGGGGATGCAAAGTGATTCGCACCTTTCTTGGGTTTACATTGGTCCTCCTCCTCCTGCTCCTCCTCCTCCTCCTCCTCCTCCTCCTCCTCCTATAATCCCCTCCTTCGCTGAAGCCCGTTAGATTCTTTAAGAACCTCCCACTCCTCCTCCTCCTCCTCCTCCTCCTCCTCCTTCACTAAGTATCCTCTCCTCCTCCTCCTCCTCCTCTTCATCTTCCCCCTCCCCTCCTCTTGATCATCCTCATCCTCACCCTCCTCCCCATCCTCCTCCTCGTACTCCTCTCCATCCTTCTCTTCACCACCATCATCAGCATCATCAGTATCATCATCATCATCATCATCATCATCATCATCATCATTATCAGCATCATCATCATCATCATCAGCATCATCCTCATCATCATCATCATCATCATCAGCATCATCATCATCACCAGCATCATCATCATCACCATCATCATCACCATCATCCTCATCATCATCATCATCGACATGATCATCAATCCCATCGTCCTCCTCGTTCCTCCTGACGGGGTCGGGCCAGGCGCAGGCTGCTCCGTCCTTCTCCTCCTTCGCCTGGACGATCTTCTCCTCCAGGGCCTTCACCGAGTCGAAGAGCCGGTCCACGTTCTCGGCCATGGAGGAGGCCTCCACCCGGAGGGGCGCACGCAGCCCGAATCCGCGGTAATCCAGCTGTTGCCGGCGCCCCAACACCGCACTGCGGCGAGAGCGGCGGCTCGTATTCCGCAGCGATATGCCGGCGAGGGGGCACGGGTGCCGCCTGCCATGTCAGATGTCGGCTTGTGCTAGAGGAGGAGGAGGAGGAGGAGGAGGAGGAGGAGGAGGAGGAGGAGGAGGAGGAGGAGGAGGAGGAGGACTGCTGGCTGGGCGCTCGGCGGGGACCTGGCCTGGCCAGGGCGCATGCTTCACACCACACACATCTCTCGCAGCCCGTCAGTGATCCCACTGTACACGTCAGGGATCTGGGAAATTCATCCCGCTCTTAGGCGGAAGGCCTCGCCTGAGGCGCGACAGTACACTGGCGCCTGCTTTCGTCGGAGTGCGACTTGGTGGGCACTCCTCTCCGAGGAGCTGGGAGTTCTGCGTCATAAATCTCCCGCAAACTCGGCAATACAGGACACCGCGCAGCACAGCGAGGTCATGGGACGAGTGCGCTCGGGGAGCCCCAGGGTGCGCGATCACGGCCTCACGGTCAGACCCGCACGTTATCTGTCGCGCCCCCACGCACCGACCAGGGAAAAACTCGGAAACCTTTCCCCTCAAGGCCTCAAAATTGCGGCCACAGACAATGCATTTATATCTTGAATTCACGAGCTTGACATTGTGCCCCGCCGCCTCGAGTCGACTTCTCCGAATGGCGAGAGAGGAGGAGGCCCTCGGCCGAGGAGGAGGAGGACGCCCGACTCTATCTGACACGAGGCGGCGGCACGTTAAATTAACTTCACGATTAACATCCAGCAGACGCGACAAGACCTTTCCCGTCATGTCGTCTACTTCGTTAAGGACGTTCACATGGTCTTGTGGGACCTCTCCTAAGGCGGCAGCCTCCCCAGCAAAAAAGTCAGCTACAAAATTTAGGAAGAACTCAACCCTAGAGATGCCCCAAACCTCACGAGTCCCCGCCGTCGAATGGGCCTTGGTCCACAACACCTCCACAGAGCCTTCACGAGCATCCAGGAGCGTCCAGAGCTGGTCCCAGAGGTCGAGCATCGGCGACGTAGCAGAGATATAAGACCTGTCCCTACGGAGACCACGCACCAAAGGAAGATAATCAGAGTAGGCCACAATATCTCCCACAGTATGTCTAAGCAGCATAATCATAGCATACATTTCAACCCTGGGGCTCGACTGAGCCACAGTGGGGAGGGTACCCATGAGGATAACGTCACAGGCCAGGTCCACGCTCTGGAGACTGTCCTCCTCGAAACGAACCGCAGACCATCCACAGCGCCTGAGCCTCCAATCCGAAGCGAAAGTCCCCCCAGAGCCGTCCAAACCATATCGACCTCCACGCACCTCCTGGTCCCCCACGAAGAGGCCCCAAGACTTCACAATCTCCACGGGCGGCGGAATGGGCGCGACAGCGGCCTCCAAGGGCGGGAGCCCACGCGTCCAGAACGCACTCCTGACATGCTCGGGCTGGTTCGCCATATCGACAAGGCCAAGAGAGCGATGCATCGCGATGCTGACGATCGATGCATTGGCAGAGCATTCCCAGCAGCGGTGGAGGCTGGTTTCACGAGCGGCCCCACACCTAGGACAGATGCCGTCTGTTAGATACCCCGCATCTTGAAGCCGAGCTTCGGGCCAGGTACCTGCCGTAACCATACACACGAGCAATGCGGCATCAGCGTGCTGTCCATTCTTGATCATCTGAGCGTGCATTTTTCGGAAAACCGTGAAATCAACACCTCCATCCAACCCTTCTCCACAGAAATGCTGAGCCGCTTTGCTAGCATGTCCCCGAGAAACAGTCTGCCGCACAGCGGCACGGAGATGAAACATGAAGTCGCGCGCCTCCAAGCAGAGCACTCCGCTAGGCGTGCCCCACTGAGTGGGTGAAGTGGGCGACCAATCCAAATCGAGCAGGGTGCAGATCGTGGCCGCGATGGGGCCAGACACCGAGCGCCAGCGGCGCTGAGGCGGAAGAGCGACGAGCCGTGCCCGATGGTGCTCCCACGCCTTGCGCACCCCTTGCCGTTGTCCAGGGGACAAGGCATGCCATACACCAGCGATAGCGGATAACTGTTCAGTACGCAGCCGATATTCAGGATCCTGGCTCAGGGGGTTCATCAGGCTGAGGACGGTCGAGGTACATGCACCTTGACTCCAGTATCCTGAACACTTAGCGGCCTGCGATCGGAAACTCTGCAGATCGGCCACGGTCAAACCTAACACTGAATGACCCCACGATCCGACGCTGAGCACACCAGGCTTAAAGATCTTGCGGGATCGACCGCACAGGCGAGCAAGATAGGCCAGCTTACGAGAGCGCTTGAAAGCAGTCCGCTGGCGCAGCTTGATCTTCCATGCACATCTCCTCCTCCCCGCTGTGGTCATGACCCCCAGATCCTTCACCTGCCCTTTGAATGAGATAGAGACACCCAATTCATCAAACTTAGCAGACAACTCCTTGGCCAGAGCAGTGGACGATGCAACTGCAGCAGACTTAGGCGAGATTAAACAGCCAAGTGTACCCACATCTCGGCAGAACTGAGCGGCTGCAGCAGGCAGAGCAGAGACAATATATTTGCGCGTACCTTGCATGTACTGCGTAATGTCATCAATGTATGATCGAATCGGGGGAGCCCAGCACGACAGTGCAACGACAACGATGGCGTGGGTGGTTGGACTCCGCCTCCGCCGGGAGGGGGAGGAGAGGGCGGGGAGCGGGAGAGGGCACGGCGCCCCGTGCGCCCCGTCGTGGTGCGGGCCGCGGCGGGGAGGCGCGAAGAAGAGTGCCGGGTGCGAGCCCGGGCCGGGCGGGCTTCGGACGGTGGTGCTGTGCGCGGTACGGTCCGACGCGGGGGGCACTGTGCTGACAAGCTGCGCAGGGGCCGACCGTGCCGGCACTGCTGGGCCTACCACGACGTGTTCCTCGCACCCTAAACATGTTCTCAGAGCAAGAGCAGTGCTCCTAGAACATGCGCCCGATAGATGAAGAGAGACCGTCCCCGCCAGAAATGTTCTCAGAACAAGAACCATGTTCTTAGAACCTGAGCCCGAGAGGTTAAAGAAGGACAGCCCCCGCCAGACCTGTTCTAAGAACACGTCGTGCAGCCCACACAAGGTTCTCAGAACCTTCCTTGGTGGGACTGTAAGGCGAGCCAGGACGCCTCGCCGCCACTGCTCGACGGTGGCAGGGCAGCAGCGAACGCATGCTGGCCAGCGTGGGACCCAGCCAGCGTGGGCCCCAGGCGCTGACACTCCTGCAGCAGGTGCGCTGCGAGCGGGGTGGTGCAGGCGGTGTGCAGTGCACGCTGCGCAGAGGGCACCGTGCTGGCAAGCTGCGCAGGGACCGACCGTCCCCGCACTTCTGGGCCTACCACGACGTGTTCTTCGCACCCGAACATGCTCTAAGAACAGAAGCAGTGTTCCTAGAACACGAGCTGACACTCTTGCAGCAGGTGCACTGCGAACGGGGTGGTGCAGGCAGTGTGTACAGTCGGGGCGCTGACCTGAGGAACCCTAAATAAGGCACGAGGCCCCTTTTCTCCAGAAGTGGAACTTCGATTTCCCTTCCGGAAACCTCAGGAGCACGTGGGGCCAATCAAGGAACAAGGAGCCCCTACCCAACGGAAAGAGTTCCTTCTTCGGCGCCCCGACTGTAGTGCAAGCGAGGTGGAGCAAGCCGTGTGGTGCAGCCCGTGCGGTGCAAAACAGTTCAGAGCAATGCAGGTGCAGTGCACAGCGATGCAGAGAAGCTGAATGGGATGTAGAGCCACGCAGGGCAACGCAAGCAACGCGATGCAAAGCCATGAACAGCTAAGAACAACGATGCAAAATAGTGCAAAGGAATTCAAAGCAACGAGATGCGATGCAAAACAAGAAATAACAATGCGTTGCTATGCACATCAACGCAACGCAATGTAACGCGAAGCAATGCAAAGCAACGTGAAGCAATGCAAAGCAGTGCAAACAATGCACTGCGATGCACAGTAATGTACAGCAGGGTAAAGCAATGCGAAGCAATGCGAAGCAATGCAAAGCAATGCAAATCAACGAAACAATGCACAGCAATGCAAAGCAATACAAATGAATGCAAAACTATGCGCAGTAATGAGCAATGCAAACCAGTGCAAGGCAATGCAAAGCAATGCGATGCGATGCAAATCCGCCGATCCAGTCGGCGTGTGTGAGGGGCCCTTCGACGCGAGGCCGGCACAACCCAAACTGAAGTAGCCCAGCTTCCTTTGGATCGTCGCCGTCGTGGAAGAAGTCGAACGCGGGGGATCGATTGCATCGAGGGGAAGCCCCTTCCCTTTGTCCCTTCCCCACCAGGAGAGGGTTCCCAGGGGGAATCTGGCCCCTGGGGGGGTGTCCCGGGGGGGCCCCAAGGGTCGCGACCCCCACCCCGAGCGGTCCCCCCTGTGGAGAAGGAGGATAGGAGAGTGGTCTCTCTGTCGTCGGCAAGAGTGCTCAGGGCCCCTCCACCCGCCTCGGCCCCGACTCTGGCCCCGCCCCCAATCCCAGCCAAGGCCCTGCCAAGATCAGTGGATACAGAATTTGTTCGGTCGCGATCGGTAGCGACCGATCGGCACTCCACCTCGGTCACGACCGATCGCGCTTGATCCCAAAATCGGTCGCGGCCGGTCGCCATCGATCGCGGCTGGTCGGTCGCGACCGATCAGGTCGTGACCGATGTTGAAGCGAGTCGGTCGCGACCGAGACCGAAACTTGAAGCAAAATCGGTAACGACCGATCTCGTCGGTCGCGACTGGAAAATTCTAGTATCCAATGATCAGGGTGGCCCTGGGCCCGGCCCGGGCACCAGCCTGCGGCCCCAGCCCCAGCCCCACCCAGAAAAACCGCAATCAGAAAGTTTCGGTAGCGGATTTCGGTCGCGTTGATTTTCGGTCGCGACCAGAATTCGACCGCGACCGAATTTCGAGATTTCACGTGTTCGATGTCGGGGCATGGCTATTTCTTCGGTCACGCGAAACAGAATTGGGTAGCGACCGCGACGAAAAAAACAGTAGCGCGAACCTAAACATCGGTAGCGAATTTCGGTAGCACGCAGGAAAAAGCTGTAGCGGAGTTCGGTAGCGCGCACCCCGAACATCTGTAGCACATTTCAGCCGCGATGGTGGTGGTGATAAAAATGATGATCATGCTGCTGATGATAATGATACTGATGATGATGATGATGATGATGATGATGGTGATGATGATGCTGATAATGAGGATGATGATGATGATGACGATGGTGGTGGTGGTGCTGCTGATTATGATGATGGTGATGATGATGCTGATAATGCTGACGATGGTCATATGCATGATGATCATGAGGAGGATGATGATGATGGTGCTGCTGCTGATGATGATGATGCCGATTCTGATGATGCGGATGCTGATGATGATGTTGATGCCGATGATGATGCTGATGACGATGATGGTGATGCTGATGCTGATGCTGCTGCTTAGGATGACGATGATGATGATGACGTTTGCGATGGTGATCAGGATTACGGTACTGCTGGTGATGACGATCATGATGATGACTCTGATAATGATGATGACAATGATGATGATGATGATGATGATGATGATGATGATGATGATGATGATGATGATGATGATGATGAGGGTGGCGGTGAGGCTGGTAATGATGCTGATTGTGATGATGATGTTCACGATGATGCTACTGATGACGTTGATACTTGGGCAGAGGCCATCACGGCCAACAAGGGGGAGCATCCCTGTACCCCCGCTCCCAGCGGGGCCGCAACGGCCAACGGGCCCTTGGGTGTGTCGTCCAGGGTGGTTTTCCGACGATCCTGGGGAACGAAGCTGGCATCCGGACATTGAAAATGCAGAATACAGCCAGCCCCAAGGCTATACAAGAAAGCCTCAGGAAGAATCCACACGCGCCCAGGTAAAAGCAATGTTGCCCAAAACGTCTCCCAGTCAGGCTAAGAACCACCCAGACGGCGTTCCAGCACTTCTACCATTGTAACCATTGCCTTATTCAGTTCGAGGCTTCCATCCCTGAAAGTTCTTGCTGTCTCACATTCGAGAGATTCGCTGGCGGAACTTCGGTTGGGCGTGCTCCGTTACTGTTTCTCGCCCAAGCGAGGTTCACGCGACTCACCACCTTGTCAGCCCCAGCGAGCTCGCAGGCAAGAGCAAATCAATATGGGCCGGCGGAATGAGCGAAGCGACTGGTCAACAATAGACCCATACGTAGGATATGGGGCAACACAATCCACCCACCTCCATCAGCCTCTTCCGTATCCTTTTCAGCCTTCTCTTTCTATTCATTCGCCTCCTTCTCCTTCTCCTTCTCCGCCTTCACCGCCTCCGCCGCCTCCTAGGCCTCTGTCTCCTCGCCGTTCTCCCCCCTCTCCCCTCCCCATCTACTCTCTCTCTCCTCAGTCATCTTCCTCCTCCCCCTCCTCCTCCATCCTCGCTCCTCCTCCTCCCTCCTCATCCTCCTCCCGGCTACACTCCCTCTAACTTCCCTGAGCATGTTGAGGGCCAGGGAGAAGAGGTGGCCTGCAACTCCAGCTCGTTTACCTTCTGGACCGCAGTCTGCCTGCGCGTGAGCGCCTCCTTCGCGAGCGTGTCGTCGCCCTTCGGACAGCTGGCGCTCCCCGCTGATCAGGAGCAAGGGGGACGGAGGGGAAGGACAAGGAGAGGGATGACGAGGGACACCAATTCCTCCTCCTTCTCTTCCTCCTCCTCCTCCTCCTCCTTCTCCTCCTCCTCCTCCTCCTCCTCCTTCTCTTCCTCCTCCTCCTCCTGTTGTCCCTCCCCGCCAGCACCCCCAGCCATCGTGTCTGCAATTCATGGTGCAACGGGGCAGCCCGTGAGCCGAAGGCAACCACTGTACACAGCGATGGAGTCCGCAGTGCATGATGCCAGCGGTGAGGAAGTACAAGTTACAACAGAAGACGTCACCCCTGGAGTACCAGCGCAGTTTCTGCACGAGGGGTGGTTGGATGCTACAGCTAGACAACCAGTCAAGACATCGACGATGCATCGGGCATGTCGCGTTTGAAAATTTGGCCTCGGTGACATTGGGGCTGCTGTGTTTCTGCATTAAAGCGCAAGTGAATGAGTCGACGACTGTGCGCCCTGGAAGGAGGGGGAAAAAGAGACAACGACAATATGTGGCGAAGACGAAAAACATATCGATGAGGGTCAGGCGCGTGTGCGTGTGTGCGCGCGTGTGCGTGGGACACCCGCAATTTGTAAGCCCCGTGCCTGCAAGACCTTACGTCATCAGCACGGCATGGTATATGGACAGCCGAAGAACATCACCGTGGTCGTGCACCCCCACCCTGTAGGGACCAAACAGAACATGCGCTGATCTGCTGAGTACCACCAAGGGCCCCGCGTACGATGCCCAATCTTAATGGATCCTGATCGATGAACAAATAGGCATGCAAGAACCCAGCGCACCATTCTGGCCGCCGACAGAACATTGGACGGAACCCTTGCAAACATGTGCTTCACACGGGATCAGCCAACATACATGCATGTAATACGGGCACGTGCTGTTGTAACGCACTATCCCACGAGAATGGTCCATTTGATCAACGACATCAGCAGCATCATCATCAGGAGCATCATCATCATGGCCACCAGCGTCATCAGCATCACCATCATCAGCATCAGCTTCATCATCATCATCAGCATCAACCTCAGCATCGTCATCATCGTCATCAGCGTCACCACGATGCTCAGCGTCATCATCGCCATAATCATCACGATTGCCATTAACACCACAATCAGTATCAACATCATCATCGTCGTCATCATGCTCAGCATTATCATGGCATCATCATCATCATCAACGACATCAACATCAATATCAGTATCACCATCACCGTCGTCATCAACATCATCATCACCATCATCATCGTCCACTATCAACACATCGTCGTCATCGTCAACATAATCGTAATCGTTATCATCGACATCACCATCGCCATCACCACCATCATTCTCATTACATCATCATCGTTGCCACCGTCACCATCATCATCATCAGTATCATCATAGTCCAAATTATGAGCATCACCAATCATCATCATCATCGTCATAGTAATCGCCATCGTCATCGGCATCGTCACCATCGTCGTCATCATCACCATCGTCACCATCATCATAAACATCGTCATCATCCGCATCATCATTACCGCCATCACCATCACCATCACTAACAAAATCATGATCACCATCACCATCACCATCACCACCATTATCATCAACATCACCGTCACCATCACCTGAACAAGAAAATCGCCCAGGTCATAAACGACAACATCCTGATGCTGGAGCGGCACGCCTCAGCAAGACTCTGATAAGGATCCAAGGTTTCTCCGTGTTTTTGTTCCGATGACAGCTCAAGCGAGCGAGGAGAAGTCGTCGCCCTAGGCAGGAAGCACTGCCAAACCCACTGCAGGCCCCTCATCTGCCTTTGATCAGGCGCGCGATCTCTTCGCTGGCCTCCACGTTATGTTACAGCAGTGTGCTATGCCACCCCATCCACAATCATCGCGCAAGCCCGACCCCAGCCGCCTAGTAGCTGGAGGCACGTGGACGGCGCGCACTCTAGCCCACTTCCCGCTGAAATGAAAAATGAATCCCCGCACACGTGCCAATCAAATCCACTGCCGCAAAATCCAAATTTCAGCGGGCGTCCAAGAGAAGAACGGGCCATGCCGCCTGTAGGCAGCTCTCGAATCGCGATCGGCGCAGAGAAGGGAGGGAGGGAGGGCTGGAAGGAAGAGAGGGGAGCACAAGCAGGAACACGGGAGAACGCCGGGCATTCCATCACTGTGCGATACACGTTCCTGGCGCCAGGAGGCGAGAAACCCACATGGCTGCATTCTCGTGTGGAACATCCGGAGGCCACGCGCTGGACTCACACGCCTGAAGCCTGACTCGTGTGCCCCGCCACGGAAAGGCCGCACGCAGGAAAGACATCCGGTGTGTACCCCCCCTAGGGGATTTCTTACCCAACTCTCGCCCAGGCCTGCGGCGCCATATGTTTCTGGCTTCCTGGAACACCTGCGACGGGGCAGCGCTTCAGCCAACGTCCGTGCCGCCCCGCTCCTACCGCTCCTGCGACGCGGCCATCTCCGCGTTGATCTGCCGCTCCAGCTCGGCCTGGCGCGCCCGGGTCTCTTCGATCAGCCTCTGCATGGTGCGCAGCTCGTCGTCCTGCTCCGCGGGCTGCGCGGCCGCCCTGGCCGCGGCGCCACGGGCCGCTGGCCCGCCTCGCCGGGGGCGCTTGGCGGCGGGCTCCTCGCTGTCCAGCACGCGGCTCCGGCGCGCGGCGCCGCGCCCCGCGGCCGGCTCGCACTGGTCGCGGGCCGCGGGCGCCCTCGGCGCTGCCGCGCCGGCCCGGCCCTCGCCCGCGCGCGCGGCGCCAGGCGGGTGGCTCCGCGGCTGGTGCGCCTGCCCGGCGATGGGCGCCGCGCCGTCCTCCACAGCGAGGCGCACGGCGAGCTTGCGGCTGGAGTCCCGGATGCTGTGCCAGGCCGGGCCCTCTGCCCATGGCCTCGCGTGCTGGTCGCCGACCCAGATGCCCGTGGACTTCCGGTGGCCGACGGACTCGAAGAACTGCACCCAATACGGCTCCGGGTCCTGCTCGGTGGAGAAGTCGAGCTTGAGGACCTTCGCGGGCCACGGCGTGCCGTTCGGGGCTGGAGGAAAATTGACCCACGTGTAGTCGTCGACTCTCAGGCGGAGGCCGCGCTGCGTTGCGATGGCCTCTCTGCACGTGCCACAGAACCACTTGTCGCTCAGGTTCCCGAAGTGTTTCTCTGGCGGGTCGTGGCACTTCGCGTGGTAGCCCTTGCCGCACATCTCGCACATTGCCAAATCGTTGTCGTCGCTCGCCTCCACACCACCACACACGCAGCACTCGAGGTCGTCCAACTCTGGGTACAGCCTCTCCCCGCCGGCGAGCTGCCCCAGCGGCTGCCTTTTCGCACCGACCCGCTGCGCGCCACCAGAGAACTCATCCCCAGCCGCGTCGTCTGCGTCGTCATTGGTCGCTGCCGCGGCGCACCGCACCGTGCGCGCAGCGACGGCGGCGCCTCTCTGCGGACGGCTGCGCACCGCAGGCGCTCCAGCGCTCTCCGCGCCGCCGGGCCGCCCGCTGCAGGCACGCCTCGTACGGGAAGCTATGTCAGAGCCGCCCACCGCCGCCGCCGCTGCACTGGCGCCGCTCGCGAGCCCAGCGGACTGTCGCCTCGGGCGGGCCACGGCGGAATCGCCGACCTCGGGGTGGCCTCCACTCACCTGGGGGAAGAAAATGCGACATGAACATGAGCGTCCGATTCCGCGCGGACTTCCTGGATCGGCGCTGGACCCCCCACCCTGGCGCGCCAAGCGCGCCGAGGGCGGCGCCAGAGGCGCCGCCAGGGGGCCGAACGTTTAGATCTACTCGGGGGGGCTCAAGGGTGCGGTGGGGGCAAAGGTGGGGTTTGAAGGGAAATCGCTCCGAACGGCCCCTGAAGAAGGAAACGCGATAAACGGGAGCATCGAGCTGGGCCCGTTCCCCAGCCCCACCTTGGGATAACCCTCACTCTACGAATCCCGGGTTCATGTTTTCTGCCCCTCTCACCGGCACCGCGCCCTCTGCCGGGCCAGCCGCCTTGTCGGTGGGCTCCTGATGTTCTGCAGGCGCCGGGGGGTCCCCCTCCCGAACGCCAGCGCAGGGCGCGGCTGAGGCGCTGGCGGCGTCAGCACTGGGCTCCGGCACCTGACTTGAATCAACAAGCGCGGTTGTTTCACCTGCACTCGGTGGCGAACAGGACTGGTCCTAAAACTCTCCCCTCCTCCTCCTCCTCCTCTTCCTCCTTCTCCTCCTCCCTCCTCTCCCCCTCCTTGCTGCTGTCGTCGGCGTCGTCGTCGTTGTCGCGCGGCGGGTGCCGCGGAAAAATGATTAGTTACCCCCTATTGTTGGGACCCCAGTCCGTGAATAAGGCCGCCGAAAATAATGTGTTACCCAATGTTGGGGGGGCTTCTTCTGACCCTTCGAGGTCATCCGCATGGAACTTTCACAAGTTTGTGCGACCTGAAAACGATTTCCGCGTGAAGCAGCAGGTCAAAAGTACTCCCTAAAATCCGGTTCGCAGTATTCTAGAATACAAATATCGCGTGTTGCGTGTACGACCCGCAGTGGCTATGTGTTGGCCTTCCCGCATTCATGCCGAACTAAAACATTGCGCATAATATGAACATAGATCTATATATGTGTGTAGATATACGCACGTGTGTACTAATACGACAACGTATGGTATACGATGTATGGTATCGCTCGCACGTATCTTCGCGGATGCGTGACAGATCTGACAACGTCCACCTTTTCACATGAACGAGAAGGGAGGACAAAGGGCAAGTGGACTCAGAACCCAGTATTGCTCTGCATCATTGTAATCAGATGACTGCGGTGGAGCCAACGCTTGACCCGACAGATCAAAATCACACAAGTACGAAGTGGTGGAACCTACCAGGAAACACCCTACGACTGCCCTCAGAACCATAGTCGGACAAAGCACTCCTCAACATCTTCCAATCGCGCCGCCTGCAACAGTGACTCTGCTGTGCAGGACAGCCTCGCTGCGCAGGCCGTGCCCCCCTCCCACGGGCGTGGGTGACAGCTCTTTGTATATCTCTCGCGCTCTCTCTCTCTCTCTCGTTCCCTCTCTCTCTCTCTCCCTGTTTTTTTTGTTGTTCTCTCTCTCTCTCTCTTTGTGTTCTCTCTCTCTCTCTGGCATTACGTAGCCTGGGTTGTGTCCCAGTGTGTGATTGGGCGGTTTACGTTGATGCAGTCGTAGGGAAGATCCTATAAACCAGTGTAACACTACGCCTTCCGAACACATGCTGCGGTAGCCATTGCCCCTTGGCATGTAGCATGTGTGTGCGCGCGTGCGTGATACAAGGGGAAATCACAACAACTTCAAGCAACGCAAATGTAGTGTCACCTTCGCTGCAAATCGCACCAGCCCTCTGGGCGTGGCTGGTTTAGGGTGCAATCTCGTCAACATGTATTAACTTTTCCCCTGGTCTCGGGGGCCTGGACAACCAAACATGGCTCCAAATGCGGCCCAAGATAGTCCAAGCTACCCCCAGAATCGCACAATATCACCAAGTTTGACCAAGGTAGCCTCCAACATGCTTTCAAAATGTCCCATGATGGCCGCAAGCTGGCCCGAGGGCCACTGAGCCTCCCCAGAATGCAGCGAAATGCCACCAAACTCATCATGACAACTGAGGGTGCCTCTGGGGAAACCTTGAGCTACCGATACCGCTGCTCCCTGGGCCTCTCCCGGGGTGCGTTGTGCCCGCGGACTTTCGAGGCGAGTCCAGCTGTGGCGACGGGGGCCTCCCGAGAGGCCCACAAAGTTGGAAACGAGGGAAGGGTAACGCTACGGGTACTCCAGATTTCGTAATAAAAGGGAGGGAGTCTGGACCCTCCAAGACAAGCCATTTCAGACCTCCCCCTTGGGAGAACCCTCCAAAACATCGTCCCCAGACCCCCCAGGCCCTCCAAGATAGCCTGGAAGAGACCCCCCCCGAAATGAGACCCCCCTCCCTTTATTACGAAATCTGGAGTACCCGTTCCTCCACTGAGCTTCAGTGGTGTTGGCTTTTCGCCGACTCGCTTCGGGTGAGCACCCGAGGGCGCCGACGGCTCCCGCGGGAACCGCCCCGAAAGCAACCCCATGACGGGGGGGCCAGGAGACGATGCTTCGACCGGGGCGGATCCAAGGGAGCATTTTCCGACTCCACGGGGTGCGGGGAGGGGGGAAATCCGGACCACCATTCTCTAGCCGACGGTCTTTCTGGGATGGCTCCCCAAGGGCTTCAAACGTCTCTTCAAAGAGCAGAAGGCCCCGGCAGGGGGGGGGGCAACGAGAGGCCCCCTGTGGCCACCGAGATGCTCCCAAAGTCCCAAGTTGACAGCTGCTGGGGGCTGCTCGGGCTGACACCAACTTCGGTTTGACTCATGCCCCGCTCGGTGTGCATAGGATCCGTCGATCGACAGTACCACGGCAGAAGTAGTAATGAGCCTTCCCACCGCCTAGAACCCTTCTCACGACAATTCGCCAGGTTCCTTGCCTCAGGTGCGTAGTGCGGGTTCGAATGCATGTTGTTTGTCCGGCAGGGCCTCTGTCGTTCTCCAGAGGCGACGCCTCCAAGGCCGCGTCCCCTTACCAACCGCCCCTCCTGACACTTCCTTCGCGCAGCTCCCCCGGCCCCTGGAAAGCCCTAATATTGCCCCAAGACGGCTGCAAGATGCCCATAGACCTAGACCAGCCCAAGACGGCCCAGAGGTCCCACGACAACCAACAGGCCCGAGACGGTCCTAAGCTGGCTTGAAGACCCTCCAGCACGGCCCAATACGGCTCGAAGCTAGCCGCAAGACCTTGGAGCCGACCCAGAAATGAGTATACCGAAGTTTTTGTTGGATAGCTCGGGAGAACCACCGTGCCCAAGACGGCACAGGGGGACGGGCGATCATGATTGATCGAATACCGTACAGGAAGTAGGGCAATCCCATTGACTCGGCAGCACCGCCGATAGAAGACAGTCACCGAATACTCAGCAAAAGCAAGAGAGAGAGAGAGAGGGAGGGAGAGAGAAAGAGAGAGAGAGAGACAGACAGACAGGAGAGAGAGAGAGAGAGACAAAGAGAGAGAGAGAGAGTGCTTGCGCGGGTAGGTACGAATGCAATTTACTCCGCGCATCCCGCCAGCTCTCGACGTCTTCCAAATGGCCACTGAATCAATGCTGCGGAAGAGGAAGTGCAGTGTGTACCCATAGAGCTGGCGGGTCCCATTGGCCCGCGGTCTTCGCCCAGGCAACTTGAATACTTACAGCGGTGACACATTTCTGCACAGGCCAAGCGTCGCTGGCTCACTGGCTGCCTGTCTCTTCCGTGTCCCTCGACCGCCTCCCTGCCTCCCTGCTCGTCATTAGAAGCCTCCTAGATGGGGTCGAAGTAGATGGGGTCGGAGGATCGCGCCGCATCGCCGATGCGTCGGCGACGCGAGCGGTGTGCATCAGCGACGCCGGCGTGGAGAACATTGGGCTCCGCAGGGATAGAAAAAGAAACACGCCATGAACATAAAACGTTTGGCGCTCCGCGCGGATTTCCTGGATCCGCGCTGGGCCAAAAGCTTTTATGTTGATGACGCTGTTTCTTCTTCGAGTGGAGCCGCATCGGAGGCACGTCGGCGGCGCGGCGCGATCCTCCGACCTCATAAAACAGGGCTAGGATCGGGATGAATCGCTCCAGAGCGTTCCGGAGCGCTCTCAGAGCGTTCCGGAACGCTCTGAGAGCGGCCGCGGCGCCCAACACGTCCTCCACACCCGCCGATTCTAAGAGATTTCGAGCTATCCCGATCCGATTTTGTCCCGATCCTCGCGTCGTTCGACGGAGGCACATCGGCGGTGCGGCGCGATCCTCCGACCCCAGCTGCTCCGACCCCCCGCCCCGCGGGGAGAGGCTCCCGGGGCCGTGCCCTCTCCTCCTGTGCATCACCGGCCGTGCGCACGCCGGCCCTCCTTGTGATTTGCCGCGCGCGGCCTCTCTCTATCGCCGCTGGCGCACAGGCGCGCTTTCCACTGCTCGCCAAGGGTACCGTCGGGGCGTGGACCTATAAGGAACCCTAAACAAGGAGCGAGGCCCCTCGTGTTCCAGAAGTGAAGCTCCGATCTCAGATCGGAAACCAAAGGAAAACCTGAGGCAAGCTGCGAAGCACTTGGGGAACGCGGAGCCCCTCCCCAACGAAAAGGGTTCCTTCTTCGGGGCCCCGGCTGTGCACCGGCCGTGCGCACGCCGGCCCTCTCTTTGTGATTTGCCGCGCGCGGCCTCCCTCTCGCGCCGCTGGCAGGCAGGCGCGTTGTCCACTGCTCGCCGAGGGTTACGGCAGGGGCCCGACCGCAAGAAGCCCGACGAAGGGTCGTCAGGTTGGTGCTGTGACTGCGGCGTGGGGCGTGCAGGAGGATAGAGAGGGAGCTCCATGATCCTCCCAGGCGAAGATACAAGCAAGGTGACCAACCGCACAGTGCGACTACAGTAGGGGCCCGACCGCAAGACGCCTTCCACACGAGACACAACCCTGAGACCCCAGGGCGTCCATGGGCTCGTGGTGTGGGAGCGTCACGGCTCCCATCGCAGAAAACCATCGACACCCCAGAAGCCCAGGGGCACCCCGGAGGCAAGCAGGGCGGCTCTCGGCATGCGTCTCCAGCGCAGCTGCCCGCAGACGGGCTGGCTCCGCCGAGGGGGGTCCACGATCCATCCCACGGAGGAATGACGATCGAACAGCACGCACCCATACCCGTAGGGGGGACGGAGGAGGCTATGGGTGCGTGTTGTCGGATGGGGGTCCCCACCCGAACAGGAGCTTCCCTCAGGATCCGACAGCTCGCACCCATACCCATAGCCAGCTCCCCTCCTCTCGACCCTCCTGTGGGTATGGGTGTGAGCTGTTCGCTCGTCAAGGAAGACATATCTTGCTACGGACGTTTCCGAGCCCTGCGAGCAGTGGCGCGCGCTCGGTGCGCCTGGCGCACGCGCGGGTCGGCCGCGGGCTGCCCGCGCGGCCCCCTTCGCAGCCCAGCGTGCACGGCCCTCTTCGCGCTTCGCTCGCGCGCCTCCCCACGCCGCCGTCCCCGCACGGGCTCGGCAGGCACGGCGGGCGGCGCTGCCCTGGGCTTTTGACGCTCATGTGGAGGCTCAGGTACAGGTTCCCGCGAGCGCTCCCAGAAGAAAGGTCGTCAGCTGGCTTCGAGCGTGACTCGTCTTGGCGCAAGCCGCTGACCGTGTCCATCGCGGCATCGCAGGGCAACAAAAGTAAGTGTGTGTGTGTGTGTGGGTGTGTGTGTGTGTTTGTGTGTGTGTTTGTGTGTGTTGTGTGTTGTGTGTGTTGTGTTGTGTGTTTGTGTGGGTGTGTGTGTGTGTGTGTGTGTGTGTGTGTGTGTGTGTGTCGCCCGGGCCCGCCCTCCCGTGTGCCAGTAGATCCCCCCCCCCCCCCCCCCCCTCCCCCCCCCCCTCCTGCTCACCGTCCCCCCCCCCGCCCCATACCGAGGCTCCACCGCTCCCGCACCTCCCCTCGCCACGCCTCCGTTAGTGTAGCTCTCTCATTCTCCCCCCCCTGTGTTTGTTCACTTTCCGTGTTTGATCTGAGTAGCGTGAGTGTGTGTGTGTGTGTTTGTGTGTGTGTGTGTGTTTGTGTGTGTGTGTTTGCGTGCGTGTGTGCCTGCTGATTGTGTAACGACGCGGCGAGGAGGTTTTAGGACTAGTTTTATTCGTTCGCCGCCGAGAGATCAGGGTGTGGGGGAGGTCAATTCTAAAAACGTCTTGAAGGTATGTGTATGTGTGTGTTTGGGTGTGTATGCATTTGTGTGTGTGTGTTGTGTGCTGTGTGCTTGAGCGTGTTCGTGCGAGATCGCTTGTTTGTGTTTTATGTGCTTCAGCTTGTGCCTGCGCACGCCTGCCTCTGTCCAGTCTGTACGCACGTAGGGAGGAGAGAGATAGAGAGAGCAACAACAACAACAACAACAACAACAACAACAACAACAACAGACGAAAAACCGCCGACCCTTCAGCGTGTGTGAGACGCTGTCGTCCTCTTCGTCGTCGTCGCCAGTCCCAAGGAAATCTAGAGACGAACAGGGAAATAAAACGTCGTAGTTCAATCGGTTCCCTCCACTTTTCCCCTCCCTGCCAGGGGGGGGAACGTGGAGGGGGTAGGGGGGGGGGGGTACCGGGTCAGATCACCTACCCTCCCAGGGTCCCAGCGGCCCTCCCTCCCCTCCACGAACCCCCTGTGCACAGGAAGGACAGGGGGGTGCGGGGGGGCCTGCAAGGGTGGGGGGTCCTGGAGGGGGGTGGGTCCCATGGCAGGTCCCGTCTGTCTTGGAGGAGGGTGGTCCCAGGTCAGAATACCGCCCCCCTGGGATCCAGGCAGGTGCGGGCGCGCCAGCGGGGGTTCAGCGGGGAGGTCTGACCTTCAGGGTCGGCGGCACAGGCCGTCAGGCCTTCACAAGAAGGAAGAGACGAAAGAGCGCGAGGAACGCGAGAGAGAGAAAGAGAGAGAGAGAGAGAGCGAGAGGAAGAGCGATCTATATATATATATATATACATATATATATATAGAGAGAGAGAGAGAGAGAGAGAGAGAGCGAGAGAGAGAGAGAGAGCACAGAGGCGGCAGTCAGAGCCCCCCCGCGTTCTCCACAGAGCCCCGCGCCTTGGGCTTGGGCCCCGGCGGCGGCGCCGCCGCCGCCGGCTCCCTGGGCTCGCTCTTCAGCTTCGTGGGCGGCTCCTTCCGGCGAAACGCAAGCGTGGCCCCGGGTACAGTCGGGGCGTTGACCTAAGGAACCCTAAATAAGGAACGAGGCCCCTTTCTTCCATGGGTTAAACTTCGATTTCCCGTCGAGAACATAAGGAAAATCCAAGGCAAGCTGCGAAACAATTAAGGAACACGGAGCCCCTCCCCAACCACAAGGGTTCCTTCTTCAGGGCCCCGACGATAAGGGTGGCCGCGGCTTTTTGGGGGGGCCGCGGGGGGGCCAAACCCCCCGGCGCGCAGAGACGCCACTGTCGCATCGCGCTCGGCGATCGGGGGGCCCCCATGAGCCCGCGCCAGCGGTGACCCCAGCAAAGGGTCACTCTTTTTTGTTGTTGCTGTTGTTGTCGTTGTTGTCGTTGTCGTTGTCGTTGTCGTTGTCGTTGTTGCTGTTGCTGTTGCTGTTGCTGTTGTTGTTGTTGTTGTTGTTGCTGTTGTGGTTGTTGTTGTTGTTGTTATAAATATATTTATCTTCAGCAAAGAGCCACTCTTACCCAGACATCCGCCGATCTGATTCTTTCCGTCCGCGGCCCCAGGAGGTCCGGACCGCTTCCCCCAGGGGTGGGCTTCCGCCCCAGAGGTCCGTGTGCGCTGGCCCCACAAGGCCCGACAAGGGGCCCCGGAGGCCGAGAGCTCCAGGAAGACCTCCTGGCCGGAACCAGCCCGATCCTACAAGCCCCGTCAAAATGAACCTCAAAATTGTCTGACGTGGTTGAACTGCTTGTTGGAAGATCTGGGGCCGAGTATCGATGAGTGCGGGGTACTTGAGTGCGCCGCCCCTCCAGTGTCGGTCGGCGTCAAACTGTCGAGTCAACTTCGGTCAGACGGTCTTTGCCCTCGCCTCGACATTGAAGGGGCGGCGTGTCGACATTGAGGGGCGCGCCGAAATCGAAATGGCGTGCCAGCAACTGAGGGTAGTACAAGCCCCGTTAAAAAACATATCCAGAAATGGAAGTTGTCTTCCTGGGGCACGATGCTTCCGGGCACTTGTCAGACAGCGCGTTCTTCAATGCCGAGAGGGTGGGGTCGGTTCTTGGACGACACCGCGTCCGAGCCAACAGGAATCCGTCAGCATTGGAGTAGCGCTGACCCCACCATCACCGAATGCAGAAGTCTTCCGTTGATTTTTGTTTGACGAGGCCTGTAGGATCTCCAGACACGTCCACAGTCGATCCTTGGGCTCGCTCTTCAGCTTCGTGGGCTTCGGCGCCTGGGCCTCGAGCGGGGCTGCCGGTGCACCAGCGCCCGGGGGCGCCTCCGCCCCGGCGGCGGCCGCGTAGGCCTCGCCGCGCTGCGGCGGCCCATCGGCGAGCAGCGGCGCCCAGCGCGCGTCCAGGGCCAGCGCGGCCCGGGGGTCCTCGGGGACCCACTCGGCCTTGAGGGGCAGCGACAGGGGGGGACTGGCATAAGGGGGGGACACATCGACCTGGAATCGGCGATACGTCGGGGATAGATCGGCGTGAGGCCCCCGACAGTGAATCCGCACCTTCCTGTGCAGGTTGGGGGCTATCGGGCCCCTCTCGGCGATCACTGGGCGACTCGGGGTCGATGCATCGCCCCCCATGCCTATCCCCCCCTGTCGTTGCCCCTGAGGCCTTGGCCTCGCAGTCGAGGGTATCCCACGCCGCCGCGGCCGCCTCCTCGGGCGGAGGGGCACGCAAGAGAAAGGCACACAAAGGCCTCGTGTCTCGGGGATCCGCGCGGAGTTTTCTTGGTGGGCCTGCGCTGGAGGCGCCGCCAGGGAAGCCCCGCGCTGGTCCAAGAAGTCCGCACGGACCTCCGAGACATCACGTTTACAGTGCGGGCGCGGCCGCAAGAAACCCTCGCAAGAAACCCAACCCTGAGAACCCGTGCGCGAGGTACACCTGAGGGGAAACCCAGAGCACCCTGAACGCAGCAGCTCCTCAACGGCTGCGGGAAGTCACCGCGCAGCGCGAGGAGCGAAGAAACCCAGGATACCATGACGAAAAGCATATGGTTTCTTGATGCGCGCCCTCATTGTATGCCACGTTTTGCTGTTTCGCTCTGCAGCGCATCAGCACGCATTGGTACACGCGGCCCCTTTGAGGGGCGCACATCTGGATCAGGCACGTGAACTGCAGCTGCACGCATCTGATAGCGGATCGTTCCCCAGGCGGTGTGGCCAAGAAGCGCCAACCACCGAGCATACACTGCAAGATGTCTTGGAGCGCTCGTCGGCCCCGCGGGGCCCGACGCGAACACACACACACACACACACACACACACACACGCGCACACACACGCACACACACACACGCACACACACACACACACACACACACACACACACACACACACGCACGCACGCACACACCGACGCGATCACACACGTGATGCCGGTCCTCTCCGGTCGCGCCGCCACTCTGCACCTGCTGCCGCTGAAAGCTCACGAAGGCGGCAAGCTCGACAATCGACACCTCGACGAAGGTGCGCTGCAGGTCCTGCGAGAGCTGCGCGAAGGCGGCGGGCGCGCCCCGGGCCTGTACGGAGGCGAGGCGCTCGCGCGTGATGGCCAGCACTGCCTCAGTCTCGCCCTCCGTGTCCTTACAGGAACTGTCCTGGCGAAGGACCCAACCGTATGCAGTTGTGAGTACCGTCGTTGCGGGTATCGCCTTGGGGGATCTCCTCATGGGGCCATGAAACATGCGAAGGGTGTGCCGACATAGGTCGGGGCCGCCATGCGGGCACTGCCGCCAGGGCTTACGGAACATGCGAAGGGCCGAGAGCAGGGGCGCCGAGGGGTCTCGGAGGGGGTGGTCGCAAAAAGGATAAACATTAGACGGGCGCCGCAACGGGGCGGGGCAAAAGTGGGGCCTGCGATGGAGCTCTTCATGGAGCCACGCAAGAGCTTGGACTGGGTGTGGGTCGTGGCAGCCAGGTAACAAGTATGAGGTAGCCGCACGATGCTTTCGGTGGAGCTCCTCCCCCCCTTCCCCCCCCAATCCCCCCCACCCCCCCCTCCTCCCACACTACCTGCCCCCCTACCCCCATCTCCCCCCCGCCACCCCCCCCACCACACTTCACTCCTCCTCAGGCCAACCCCCCGGCTATCCCCACCTCCCACCCCTATGGGGCCACGAAACGCTGTACTGGGTGGGGATGACGTATGCGAACACCGCCACTGAGACCTTCGGTGGAGCGCCCTGTGGGACCACGAAACGCTGCACTGGGTGGGGCAACCGCATGCGAACACCACCACTGAGGCCGTCGTTGGAGCTCTGTACTGGGCAGGGGAAACGCATTGGAACACCGCCACTGAGGCCTTCGGTCGAGTTCCCTATGGGGCCACGAAGCGCTGCATCGGGTGAGGGGAACCGCATGCGAACACCGCCACTGAGGCCTTCAGTGGAGCTCCCTTATGGGCCACGAGCCGCTGTACTGGGTGGGGGTGAGGCATGCTGGCGGTGCCACTGGGGCCTTCGGTGGAGCTCCCTATGGGGCAACGAAGCGCTGTGCTGGGCGGGGGTTGACGCATGCGGGCGGTGTCACTGGGGCCTTCGGTGGAGCTCCCTTTGGGACCACGAAACGCTGTACTGTGTGTGTGGGGGGGGGGGACATGCGGGCGGTGCCACTGGGGCCCTTCCGTGGAACGCCCTATGGGGCCACGAAGCGCTGTTCTGGGTGGGTGGGGGTGACGCATGCGGGCGGTACCACTGGGGCCCTTCGGTGGAGCGCTCTATGGGGCCACGAAGCGCTGTACTGGGTGGGTGGGGGTGACGCATGCGGGCGGTGCCGCTTGGGCCTTCGGTGGGGCTCCCGATGGGACCACGAAGCGCTGTACTGGGTGGGGGTGGCGCATGCGGGCGGCGCCAGTGGGGCCTTCGGTGGGGCTCCCGATGGGGCCACGAAATGCTGTAATGGGTGGGGGTGAAGCAATCTGGCGGTGCCACTGGAACCTTCGGTGGAGCTCGCTTTGGGACCACGAAACGAAACGCTGCACTGGGTGGGGCTGACGCATGCGAGCAGTACTACTGAGGCCTTCGGTGGAGCTCCCTATGGGGCCACGAAGCGCTGTACTGGGTGGGGTGACGCATGCGGGCGGTGCCACTGGGGCCTTTCGGTGGAGCTCCCGATGGGGCCACGAAACGTTGTACTGGGTGGGGGAACCGCATACTGATCAGGGCAGGGGCAAGGAGGGGGAGGAGGGAGGAAGGAAGAGGGGGGAGGACGAAGGAAGGTGAGTGACGCGGGGAGCTGTCTATTCAGAACGAAGACCCAACACCACAGGAGGGTTGGGAAACAAAAGATGCATTAACGCACACCTCCGGAGCGCCGAGCGGGTTTCTTGGATCGGCGCTGGGGCGCTGGGGCCTCTTCCCTGGCGCGCAGAAAGCGCCAAGGGCGAATCCAGTGCCGATCCAAGAAATCCGCGCGGATCGCAAGGGGGGCACAGCGCCAATCCAAGAAATTCGCGCGGATCTCCGAAATCTTACATTATGCAGCTGTTTCTTATTCGTGTCCTCGAGCTTGTCCTCGAGGTCCTCCTCGAAGACGCGCCACGGTCTGCGGATCGTCGGGGGGATCTGGCTGCTCTCCCAGGTGATGCCATCGGCAACAGGCGCCATCTGGCGCTGCGTGCGCGAGAGGCAGCTGGGGGGGCGAATTCTACACAGCAAAGCAAGCGAGATCGGTGGGCCTAAACCGTGCTTGAGACAAAATCGATGCGGGTGGCCTGAAGCGAAGCAAGGCAAACGCCGGAGCCGTGAGCGCTCATCTGGAGAGCCTGCCAGTGTCCATGAGAGCATGGCGTGGAGGCCGTGGCCTCAAACATGTGGCATGTGGGCACCATTCAGTGCACACAGCGGCTGATATAGAGACCTCCTAGGTGGGGCACGAAAGGATGGGGTCCGAGGGTTGCACCGCCTCGCCGGTGCATCGGCGATGCATCGCCGATCCATCGCCGACGTCGCCGATGTATCGGCGACGTCGGCGTGGAGAAGATCGGGCTCCACATCGAGCCACATCGCCGACGCATCGGCGATGCGGCGCGATCATTCGACCCCATCTACTCTGACCCCTTCTGGGAGGCCCAAGTGAGAACCATCGCAAGTCTTCTGTGCTGCCGTACCGGAGTTGTCGCGGCCTGGTCGCTGGCCGAATCTGGTCCTGCCCCGTGTCGGCCTCACGGAGGGCCTCCCAGCTGGAAGTGCAGAGGGAAGGAGAGAGAGCGCTGTGGGACCATCGATGGCGGAAGAGCCCCGAGCCTCCGAAGCCTGCACACCTGGCCCGCGCCTGGAGCCCTGCCCTCCTCCTATCCTCCTCCTGGCTCCTCCTCCTCCTCGCTCCTCAACCTCTTCCTCCTCCTCCCTCCTCGTCCTCCTCCTCCTCCTCCTTCTCCTCCTCCTCCTCCTCCTGGCTCAAGCAACATCTTGGCTCGCGTGGCCAGCTGGCCTTGCCCCAGCTCCTCCGCCCGCCAGCCCGCCAGCCCTGTGCGTCATGGAGCGTGCCGCCTGCCTGGTGACCGCCTCGCGCACAACGTCGTCGATGACGAGACGGAGAAGGCTCCAGCGCTCTGCGGCCCGTCGGTCGCAGTGCTCCAGCCTGGAGCTGATCGCCGCACTGCAATGCGGGCCCCCGCCTGGCCTGGCCAGGCTCCGGTCGGCCCCTGCCGGGATCCTGCTGCCGGTGCTGGAGAACTTCAGGGAGGAGCTCTTCATCGGCAGGCGCTCAGACACGCTGCTCGCAGCCTTGGATCGCCACAGTTCTGGGGACAGCGTATGCGAGAAGTGGGAGGCGAAGATAGAGCCCGATCTGTCTGCTAGCCACAAGACTGGTTTCAGCGCGTGTGAGAGGTGGAAGGCGATGGACGAGAACGATTCCACCAGCTACAGCGCCGAGGTCAAGGCAAGCGAACAAGGGATGGCAGAGCAGGAGGCGCAGTGCGAGAAGAATGAGGCGAAGTTAGAGCCCGTTATATCTAACCCTATATACCCTAGCCACAGCCCTGCGGACAGCGCCTGCGAGAAGTCGGAGGCGAAGTTGCAGCCTGATATGATCAGCTACAGCATTGAGGTCAGGGCGTGCCATAATAGGAGGCCTCAGCCAGAGCCCGTCGCTAGCCACAACACTGGGACCAGCGCGTGCGAGAGGTGGAAGGCGAATGACGAGCCCGACACCGCCAGCTACAGCGCCGAGGTCAGGGCATGCGATAAATGGACGGCGAAGCAGGAGCCCAGGGAATCGTGTGAGCAGTGGAAGGCACAGATAGAGCCCGTCCGCATCACTAGCCACAGCCCTGGGGACAGCGCGTGCGAGAAGTCGGATACGAAGATCGTGCCCGACATGTGCACCCACAGCGTTGCGATCGACACGTGCGAGGATCAGGATATGAAGGTAGAGCCCGTTATCTATAGCTACAGCCCTAGCCACAGTTCTGGGAACCACGAGTGCGAGAAGTTGGAGACGAAGGTAGAGCCCAACGTGCTCAGCTCCAGCGCAGCGATTAGGGCAAGCGAGAATAACGAGTGCGAGAAGCCCCACTGGACGTACCTAGGTATAGACGGTCAGTGGCGAGCCGTTCAAGATTTCGATGAATACGGTAATGATGCAGTAGAGAGACGTTACCAACAATACGTCCTCAACCACAAGAGCGTCCAGAAGTTGAAGGTATTCGATCGTTGCGCGATTGTCAATTTCAGCACGATGACCGTCAAATTCCTGGGCGCTACAAAGAAGCAGAAGATACACAGAGCTCTTGTACACTCTGAGGGCTAGTTGTGTTCAGTAGTTCTCTCGTGTTTCGAATGTCTGCTGCCTGTGTGAACGCCGCAGGCTGCAATCGGAATGCCAGATAGAGAAGTATGAGTGCAGGTCGACGAGCCAGGTATCCCTGGTGCTTCCCTGCAGCAGGCCAGATCGACGAGGCAACGGCCCTTGTCCCAATTCGATTCGAGGCGAATCGACACCGAACCCACCCCAGCCGAGCGCTCGTCCTCCTCCTCCTCTTTTTCCCCCTCTCCCCCTCCTCCCCCTCCTCTCCCTTCTCCCCCTCCTCCTCTTGCCCACGTACAAGTGACAACTTTGCTGTTTCTTGCCCGGGTACAGTAGGAACTCGACCACAAGAAACCTTCCACAGGAAACCCAACCCTGAAACTCCAGGCCGTCCAGTGATGTTTGGTGTGGGGACGTCGCGAATTCCACAGCAAAACCATCGAAAACCTCCAGGCAAGCAGGGTGTTTCTTGGCATGGGTCTGCACCAATGCACAAAATCCCAGGTGACCGTGTTGTGTTTCCATTCCCGTGTAACGGTCGCTACCGCGGGGAAAGGGGGGGGGCACTCGGGCGGGAGGGTACGGTAACGGCGGCCGCGGCGTGCACCCGCCAGGGTGCGTCCGCGCCACCGGCGCATCAGTCGCCTGTGCGCACCACAGCATGTAGGGGAGGGTCCAGGTCCCCCCCCAAGTACTATCGTCAGCGTTACCTCGGGGGGGGGGGGGCCAGAGACCGAAAATGGCCCCAAACCTGACGTCATGAGTATTTTCTCACGACGCGATCGTATCTCCCTGAGATCCGACGTCGCGAGAAAACTGCAACATCGTAAACAAAAACCACGCCTGGAGCCAGACCCGCTTTGTCTGCCACATTTTCGAGCCGGCTCGATCTGTGAGGGTCCCAGGGCCCGACGCTGGGCGAAAACGCCCGTTGTGAAAAAATGCAACGCCAAGATCTGGGGGGGCCCCTCCTGGCTGCCCCAGGTCTTCCGGTGCCTCGGACCTCTCTCTGGGCGGGGCCTCGCTATGCCCAGAGGTCCGTCGACGACGACGACGACATTGAATCTCTGGGCCCCCCCTCCCTCCCGTGCGCCTGCTGCCAGCCCCGAGCGCCCCTCACGCTCGCCCGCCCCGCCCGGCGGCCGGCGCCCGAGCTGCGAGGAGCTGTGCCCCGGGGCCGCCATGTGGGCCCCGATGGAGGTGGCCGCCCGGGCGCGGCCGCGTCGGCGAGCTCGCAGAGCCCGCGGAGGGGCCACACCCAGAGGTGCGAGGCCCGTGGTCGCAGTCGCCGTCGCCGTCGCCGTCGCCGTCGCCGTCGTCGTCGTCGTCGTCACCGTCGTCGTCGTCGTCGTCGCGGTCCTCGTCGTTGTCGTCGCCGTCGTCGTCGTGGTCGTCGCCGTCGTGGTCGTGGTCGTGGTCGTGGTCGTGGTCGTGGTCGTGGTCGTGGTCGTGGTCGTCGTCTCTTCGTCGTCTCTTCGTCGTCGGCGGGAGGGCTTCTGGCAAATTGTCTGCCTCCGGGTGCCCTCGCCGGGCCCCGGGGCCGCCCAAAAACGGCCCAGGATCAAATCAAACCAAATCACGACGAGGGGTGCTTTTGGCCACGCTCGGCCTTCGGAGGCCCTCGCCGGGCCCCGCAGCTGTCAAGAGGTTGGAGGGGGAAATGGGGTGGGCGGCAACGAGGAGAAAGGACTCGAATCCAGAGAAGTGGGCCGCGCTGGGGCGAGAGCGCCATTCTGAATGACGTGGGGGAAACGAGGATCCAAAGATGAGGCCCGCAGCGGGAGCACCATCTCGAAACTTCAGAAAACAATCGGACCGCAAAAGTCCGTGAACAAAAAAAAACATTGAAATACTGCGCGGAATAGACAATACTCGAAGACAGTTGGACATCCGCCGGATAGTCAGCGGAGAAAGGAGACGTGCACTGTTCGCGGAGCCTCGTCTTTATCAGGTAGGAGTCGTGACCGAAACTGTGCCCGAAGATCACCGGGCCCCAGCGTGATCGCAAAACTTGTTTCGAAACCAACACGGAAAACCAAGACGAAATTCCAATTCCGGTCACCCCACGTTTTCGGCCACAACTTCGGGCACGCTTTCCGTTTTGTGGGTCTCTAGCCGTGTGAGATCCTTCCCCCCCATCAGCCCCACCATAGGACCCCAAACCGGCAATTTGACCCCCTCCCCCTCGCCCTGGACGACCCACCGCCGGACGCGCCATGGGAGAACAGAGGGCCCCAAAATGAGCCAAGAGGGCACCAAAACGCCTCCATGACCGTCCAAGAGGGCGACGAGTCGCCGAAAGATCTTTCCAAGACGCCCACGAAGGCTTCCAGGCAGCCTCGGAAGTCCCCAAAACGACCCAAGAGGCCCCCGAGAGGTGCCCCAAGCGAGCCCCAAGGAGCAGAAATCGTTTCATTCCCTTTGTAAATCGTTCATGTTTACCATATTGGCCTCTTACGGTTTCGCAACGTCCGACACGGGTCATGAAACCTTCCAGATCCTCCCAGGACGGTCTCGGCAACTGCCGAGAGAGGTCCAAGAGGGCGCAACGACGGCCCCAAAAAACACCCAAAACGGCCCAAGAGGGCCTCCAGACGGCTTCAAGAGGGAGCCCAGAGGTCAACCGGGGTTCCCTCATCCTGCTGCGAGAACCTCCCAAGAGGGTCCCAGGGAGCCCCAAACGAGGGCCCTGAAGGCTCCCAACTGGTTCTCAGAGAACCCCCAAGAGGCCCATACACTATCTCCAGACGCCCCCAAGAAGGCTCCAAGACGGCCCAAAAGACCCCCACGACGGCCAAAGAAACCGCCAAGGCGGCCCAAAAGGCCCCATGACTGGCCAAAGAAGCCTCCAAGTCGGCCCCAACACGGACCCAAGAGGGGAACCCAGAACCGACCATTCGAGCCTTCCGCCCCAAGAAGCCTCCAAACACCGAAAAGCACA